AAAAAATGACAATAATAATAATCGAACTTCTAAATGACAAAGAAAGGATCTTAAAAGCAGCAAGAGAAAATAAACAACATACAATGGAGTTCCAATACATATGGCAACAGACATTTCAGTGAAACCTATGGGCCAGAAGAGAGGGCATAACATACTTACAGTGCTGAAGGGAGAAAAATTTTACCCTAGAATAGTAAATCTGGCAAAAACATATTTCAAACATGAAGGAGAAATAAAGATTTTCCCAGATAAACAAAAGCTCAGGAATTTCATCAACACTAGTCCTGTCCTACAAGAAATGCTAAAGGGAATACTTCAGTCAAAAAGAAAAGGATGTTAATGAGCAATAAGTAATCACCTGAAAGTACAAAACTCACTGGTAATAGTAAATACACAGAATATCATAATATAATCACTGTGGTGCGTAAAATACTTTTATCCTAAGTAGAAAGACTAAACAATGAACCAATCAAAAATAATAGCTACAACTCATAGACAGTACATAAGACATAGACAGTACAATAAGATTTAAGTAGAAACAACAAAAAGTTTAAAAGTCAGGGGATGTAGTTAAGATGTAGAGTTCTTATTAGTGTTCTCTTTGCTTATTTGTTTGTTTGCTTTTTGTTCATGCAAACAGTGTTAAGTTCTTACTGGCTGATAGCAGTGGGTTATAATATAGTATTTGCAAGCCTCGTGGTAATCTCAAACCAAAAAACATGCAATAAATGTACAAAAAATAAAAAGCAAGAAACTAAACCACATCACCAGAGAAAATTACCTTCACTGAAGGAAGACAGGAAGGAAAGAAAGAAGGAAGAGAAGATTGCAAAACAACCAGAAAACAGAAAAAATGGCAGGAGTAACTCCTTACTTATCAATAATAACATTGATGTAAATGGACTAAATTCTCCAATAAGAAGATATAGAGTGGCTGAACGGATTTAAAAAAAAAAAGACCCATTGATCTGTTGCCACAAGAAACATGCTTCACCTATAAAGATACACATAGACTAAAAATAAAGGAATGGAAAAAGATATTCCATGTCAATGAAAGCCAAAAAAGAGCAGGAGTTGCCATATTTATATCAGACAAAATGGATTTCAAAACAAAAACAATAAAAAGAGACAAAGAAGGTCACTATACAATGATAAAGGAGTCAATTCAGCAAAGGGATATAACAATTGTAAATATATATGTACCCAACACTGGAGCACCCAGATATATAAAACAAATATCATAGCTAACAAGAGAGAAAGACTGCAATACAATAATAGCTGGAGACTTTAATGCCCCACTTTCAGCAATGGACAGATCTTCCAGACAGAAAATCAACCACAAAAACAATTGGACTTAATCTGCACTTTAGATCAAATGGATCTAATAGATATTTACAGAACATTTTATCCAACAACTGCAGAATACGCATTCAGCACATGAATCATTCTCAAAGATAGATCACATGTTAGGTCACAGAACAAGTCTTAAAACCTTTGAAAAAGTTTGAATCATATCAAGCATATTCTCTGACTGCAATGGAATAAAACTAGAAACCAATAACAAGAAAAATTTTGGAAACTATACAAATACATAAAAATTAAACAATATGCTCCTAAATGACCAGTGAGTCAATGAAGAAATTTAAAAGGAAATTGAAA